GGAGCTCCGGTGGCCGCCAGCTTATTTTGAAAGCCCTGTGCGAATTCGTATTTAAAATGTTGCTACAGTATTAGCCTGAGTAAACAGCCGCCTATTATTGCTCATGCCTCTCAATGATGTTTATTCTTGTGAGGAACGAGCAATAATGGGCGGCTGTTTACTCAGGCTACTACAGTATATGCGGATATACCTCTACATATAAAAAATCATCACTTTCAAGTGCTTCTAAAAATTTCTTCAGTGAGTTACAAACTGTTTGAAAACGTGTTTGTACAATAATTGGTAACAATATTTCCCTGGTTTTCTTCTATACAGTATATATTTATGTTTTGTTCATTTGGATGACTTTACGACTCCCTGGACCTCTCCTCACAGCCGCCTACTTTATCAACACAGCTTCTATGGTCCTTCGGTGGCGAAGTGGTTAGCGCACCTGCCTTCCACCTCTAAGGTCGCAGGTTCAAATCTCAGTGAGAACTTCTCAATGCGATTCAAACCCAGTCCTCATGTGAAAAGAGCAAAAAGTCAACGCTATGCCGAAAGTCGCGGGTTTTCTCCGGGTTTTCTCCGGGTTTTCTCCGGGTACTCCGGTTTCCTCCCACAGGGAAAGTTGGCAGGGTGGGTTAGGGAAAAGGGCCCACAGTAATTGGCATATGCTGTTGTTGTGACCCTGCCCTAGTTGGCAAAGCTAAATAAATAATCAATAATTCTGAAAGCCCTGTTCGCATATCAAGTACATGTGCACTTGACCATGTTAATTCTGCACCATACGTAATTCATTAATAATTTATAAGCTTATTGGCAACCATGTCAACCATAATATGTCACGTGAAGAGGTTTTATACCTTCAGGATAAAACTCATCTTCATTAGTATTCTTTATATAAAAGCCCATCCTAATTAGTATTCTTTATGTAAAGATCATCTATTGTAGTCGTGTTTGAAGCTATTTAAAACACTTGTAGTCGTGTTTTATCATATCTAAAAACACTCCTACGTGTGTTTTAAATAGTACTTAATGAAGAACTGGTAACGTTGATAAATGTTGAAGATTGGTTTCCTATTTAATGAACAGTGAACATATTTAAAAATTTCCTCAAGGCTAAGGTTGCAGGAGAACAAGAGCGAAAATGGTTGATTGTAAATATCCAGGACAGTAAGGAATTTAAATGTCAACAGTTGAACAGAGATGTTTGGAGTAACGAAGCTGTTAGGAATATTATGGCTGAGCATTTTATTCTCTGGCAGGTAACATATAGCATATAGTTATCATTAACAGATCATTCGTTAACTGTAGCTTTACATGCAACAGGGATTAAAAAATGCTTCGGAAATGTATTGTCGTAAGCTAAGGTCGTAAGCTCTATAACTATAGTGTAAGTGGGAGAACCAGTGTTGCAAATACTCATAACTTCTGATATGGTAAGCACATAGAAGTAACGGAAATTATTTTCTTCAAAAATATGTGTGTAGTATAGTGTATTTGCATTTTGATGTCAGACTTATAGATTGTTCCTTAGTATATTTGAATAAATGCACTGCAACAAATTGTGTATGCGCTATCGTTTGTAGGATAATGCAGTTTTATACAACCTTCTCTGATTTAGCTGTAGATGAACAGTACGGTGCAAGCTTTTGCAAACATTAATATTCTGTTATAGGTATACCACGATAGTGATGATGGCGACAGATACATTCAATTTTATCACGTTACAAAATTTCCTCACCTGGCAGTTCTTGATCCTAGAACAGGTATAAAATAACCAAATAGTGATTGGCTTATTTTTAATTTATTAACTTTGCCTATAGTCAAGTTATCTATAAGCAGTAGCTATTTGGGCCACAGGCAACCTGCAGGCGTTTGAGGTGAGACCCCTAGTGGAATAATTTATTTACATTAATTCCAATTCAGAAAATTACATGTTCCAAGAGAATTGTAGTAGACAGACTTGCAGGCGGACGGACGGACGGACGGACGGACGGACAGATCGCTAGACAGACAGACAAGCAAACAATCAGACAGATAGGTAGACAGACACATAGATGAGTAGATGGAAAGGTGGACAGCTGGAAAGATGGACAGACAGGCATAGATAGATAGACAAACAGACATGCAGTTAAGAAGACTGAGACACAGATATTCAGACACAGTGATACGTGGTACAGATACACAGAGATGCTGACAAACAGACCTACAGACTGAGAGAAAATGGAGAGATAAACAGAGACACAGTGCATTGATACAGATACACAGACAGATAGACATACTGACAGACAAACAGATAAAGCTATCCGAAAAGCATCTCGATTGTCGCTCTACTCACGCAGTACTTCATATAGAACCCAGTGTACGTTTTTGTACGGAGAAAATCGTATCGTGGAAGTGAAGTTGTCCGTAAATATGATTTTATTTCCACAGGAGAGAAGTTAGTAGAATGGGAAACTGTTGATGCACTGTCCTTCTGTGAAGTAGGTCAGTGTTTATGTCATACCAATAACGATGTAAACCAATTTCACTAAAGATAAATAACAAAGTAAAATACATTGCAATATAATACAGGATTGTACAGTATAGTGCATATTAGAGGTGTGCAAATCCGATCGGATTCGTTCGGATTTCGGAACAAAAATATACATTTCGGATCGGATTGATAAAGTTGTTTCGTAGTCGGATCGGACTTCGATATTCGAAATAAAATGAATTAATTACCCACGTATTATTGCAAGAATTAATTATCCATGCATTTATCAAAGCATTATCGCGGTTGTCGCTGCATTTTTCGTTTGATACTTCAATTGGACGTCACTTTGTCAGCTTCTTGACATGTATTTCTTGCTTTTATATTTATTTGGTTAAACATTTCAACTGGAATGAGAAATTTATTTTGTTAAAGGATTCATCGGATCGGATTGGAATTCTTTATCACAACTCGGATCGGATTCGGATTAGACAATTTCGGATCGGATCGGATTTTAAACATTAGCCAATTTTCGGATTATAAACGTCCGATCCGATGCACATCTCTATTGCGTATAGACGTGCTCCAAGTCTGCCTCTCAAGGAGGTTATTATTTGGGAGTTATATAAGGGCGCGCGAAAATGCGAGCGATAGCTGACACCTACCCACCCACATTGTTCCGTGGGACATCGCATTAAATGTTTTCCGTGTTTGACGTCGTTATGAAAGAGTCTATACTTCATTTTTTATGAGGTGAAGACAGTGGTACAGTTATAAGTTCTTTGTAGTTGTTTGCATGACGATAGTATAATATAAGTTTTGGTTTGTGGTAACACCACGCGTATTTGTTATTCGAAAGCTTTGCAATAATAATAATTATTATACAGCTATTTCAATTAAGGTTGTACCCGAGCAAAGCGGAAAAGTCGAATACGAGCTCGAAAGACTGCTGGGAATCGCTATGAAAATTCATTAATTTTTTAGCGATTCCCAGCAGCCTTTCGCGCTGGTATTCGACTTTTTCCGATTTTCTCGTGGACAACCTTAATTGAAATAGCTGTATACACATTACACAAGGTCTGGATATGAAGTATTCTGCAATCTAATTGCATGGTTCTCTACTAGCAGGATATTAGCTCATATCGGATCCTGCTAGTAGAGAAAAACAAAATGGCGGCTCAAACTGAATTTCCGACATTTTGCGAACGAGAAAACGGCAAGTTGTTCGCTTTTTATAGCCTTTAAGCCTTTACAGGATTAAAAACACAACGAAAAAACTCCCACAAATTGTTTACAGGTTAGCAAATGAATGTTTAAAATTTAAAATGGTTAAAAATATATATTTTTGAAAAAATACTTGGCCGAAAGAGCGAAGATAAGAACATAAACAAAGTAGAAAAATATTGAAAATATCCGAAAAGCAAAGTCTGTGAATTCAGACCTTGTGTATATAATAAAACAGTTATTCCACTTACTCTCGTCGAATATGAGCGATAGCCGATTCGGCGCTACGCGCCTCATCGGCTATCAGCTCATACTGGACTTGAGTTCGTAGAATAACTGTTAAATATATACGTTGTGTTTCCACAAAACAAAACGTACATTATATTAATTTAAACCTGTTTTATCAACTCCCCAGGGAACGGTTGTTCAATGCTGGATTAAAGCCAACCCTCGGTTAAAATCTAACCAGCTGTTTTAGTTTATGTATTTCTGCACGTTTATTTCAAAACGTCGGAGAAGAAAACTCCTACTGGCTACTAATCCAGGCAATATTTCTGAAGAAATATTTCCAAATTCATAAACAAGCTTTCAGGAAGTTTGCTTTAAATTTTACGTTAACCTAGGGTTAAGCTAGTCGTCTTTTGAACGACCGGCCCCATGCAAGGAAAAAGAATGTAATGTTCCCATTGAACATACTGTAGCAGAAACATTGCGAAATGTTGTTTGTTTCATTGCAAAAGCGTTTCAGCTGTTTTCTTCTGTATACAGCCACAGAATTTTTATCAAACCATTCACTTGGAAAGGAATCGAACGGATGTTTTCCACCTGCAGCAAAACGACGAAAAAGGGTAACAAAATGTAGAATAATGTATGAGCTGCATTAAAATAATTGCAAGCAACTCAACAGCCAAGGCATTGATAAGGACTGATTAAAATAACCAACCGTTTATAGAATCACTTGAATAACGGTACCAATATTCTAACTTGTCCAAACTATGGAAATTACTGTGTATTAAAGGCATTTCAACGAGAATGCCTACCTATCTTCTTTAGAACTTGTTGTAACTATAAAGACCTCGTTTCATGCAAGAATTAGTAAAAATGAGACAGGAACCAGGCCTGACACGGAGTGGGGAATACTGTTTTGGGAATACTGCTGGAGGGTTTTTCGTCCTTTTGTCCCAAAACGTCAAAAAGATTAGGTTAGCCTAACTATTTATCGCAGCTCTGATGTTGTATGAAATTACACCCGATATTTTATGAAGAATTATATGCTTAACCTTTGTTGCAGGAAAGTATCATTGATGCATCGGAGGACTCGCAGTTAGAAGCTGCTATCGCTGCCTCGTTAAAGGAAACTTCTACTGAAGCGCCACCTAATAGCCTACGAGATAAGGAATACCTTGATACTCCTGATGAGGATAGTTTGACCGAGTTTACAGATTCTGAAACTGAATCAGAAAAACCTCCTAAAGATACTTTGGGAAATGATTCCGTTAAAAATGACAATAGAACTAAAACAGTAAAGTGGGAGAAAAATGAGAGTAAACAGAAGGAGAAAAGTGTTGATGATGGTACTTGCCTTAAAAAAAACGAAACTTCTCAAACAAAGGATGTTAAAAGACAAGATGACGACGTGGATGGTAAAGATTCTGAAGGAGACGATGATAATACACTTGATCCAGGTGAGTTAAGTCAGCCTGCATGCACGTTTCAATTGTATTGTAATAATTATATAACAACATTAGTTTTTGTAACTATATATATTACGCTAAAAGATGTCTGTCCTGTCATTGCATAGAACAGGCCTAGGAGTAGATAATTTACTGAATGATTACCTTATGTAGATTGTGTCAAAGCATACATAATGTTGAGATATCCTAATGGAAAACGAAAACAGAAGACATTTCCTTCTGAAGCAGCTATACTGGTAAGTAATATAAATCTCACTTTTTATTTTGCCCTGGTGTTGTAGTAAGGAGCCTGTGTAGCTTATCTCGTATATAAGTCCACCTCACACCGGAGAGAGCAACTCTAGTTTCAATATAGACAACTCTACCGGATATGAGCTATCTTGCAATCTCTACTATAGCAGGATATTCGTATATAAGTCGCCTGATGACATTATTTTAAAGTTTTTTTAAATGTTCTACTATTTTATTTATTTCTAAGAGTTGATTGACGTGTCGAAATCTAAAAAGTATTTTTAATAAACAAAAATTTTAAATGAAATTGACAATTCCAGCTTTTAGTTTATGCGTGCAGGGCAGAGTGCAGGGGGAGATGGGAAGTAAGGTATCATATTGCTGATTATGCTGAAAAAAATAAAAATGGCGGCCGTGTAAACAGGGAGTGATAGCTTATACTTGTAACTATTGAAATATTTCGGTTGTTTCGGCAGTTTTTATTGACATTTTTCAGCATAATCAGCAATATACCTTACTTCCCGTCACCCCAATGATTTGTTTCACCGCGTATACCTGTTGGTAAGCTTCATTCATATGCTGATGATCGCCAAATATATGATTCACATAAGGAACCTAAGGAACTTGATTGAACATCATGTCACATTGGTTTGATATTAATGGTATGATTTGTAATCTTACTAAACATCAAGCAATGGTCCTTGGCAACAAATTGCACTATGAATTTTCTTTCCCAACAAAGCTAGAACTCACTGGATTTCGTTGGTATGACAATTGATCAAGATCTTAACTTTGATAAACATATTACTAAACATATTACTAAGAAAGTTGATGATCAATTTAACGTAATGAAGAGATTCAGCAACCTTGTTTCCAGACATACAATGTTGATATTATATAGGGGTTATATAGTCCCACGTTTTAGCAACTGTGTAGCTGTTTGGCACTTGTGGTGCAAGAAATTCAAACAAATGGGAAGATCTTAGTAATATGCTAACAACTTGTTAAAAATGCATCCATTGTAAAAGATATCCACAGTATTTGAAACAAATGTTAAATAGACGAAGTGTATGACTACTCACTACGTGGGTCGGATATTCTGAACTTAACAAAAGTTATGACCACAAAGCATGGACTTCATTCTTTTCGATATGAAGTAGTTAAACGATGGAATGGTTTGCCAGAAAGTTGCAGGGTTCAAGATACTCATAATGTCAATATCTGACATAAACTTTGAAAGTTAATTTATATTTATTAGAAACACCAATTAATATTATATTTAGTTTTAGTATATGTATATATATTCTATATATTCGAAGGTATTAGCTTATTGTAGCTATCGTAAATTCGAATTCAAATAAATTGTATTGTATTGTATTGTATTGTCACCTCCTGCACGCATTAATTAAATGTTGGAATTCACCCTCTCCCTCCGTCATTTTTCTGCGAGATGCATCCTCGGTCCCAGGGCCTCACGGCTGAGAGATGTAAAACTGAAAAATACAAGTAGAACTTCGACGTTTCGAGCGAAGACTCTTGGTCGGGACGTTAGTATAGGGCCTCCCAACGAAGGACCTTCGCTCAAGACGTCGAAGCTCTACTTGTATTTTTCAGGTAGTTGTGTTTCTCATCAATCGTATATGCTAACCGCCCATTGGTCATGGCTTGGGGTGCAAACTCTTGACCAAGTGCATAACCACTAGAGGAAGCTACGGGCAGCATGGTTCAGGTAACCGGTCAAACACTGCCCCTGGCAGGGTCCTAGCTGGTTTCATAAGGAAATTGGCACACCTTCCCTCCCCCCTGCCTTTTGCCAAGGTTAGGAGGGGTATGCACCCCCACATAATTGACAATACAACACATGCAAATCATTCTAGGTATATCATACAGGTAGTGAATGGGAATTTGAACATTCAGTTGCATACTTCGTTCTTTAATATTTCATTAAAAACTGATAAAGTTAGTATCATGAGTACATATTAAGTGTTCCTATGGGAGAACTTTAGTAGAGGTTTAAATCCTTTTCTTGTTGTCTTACAGTGTACAAACTTTTTTTTCGTAGGATCTTATCAAATATGTACAAAATCAAGGATATTCTAATGAAAGATATGAACTTGTTACAAATTTTCCGCGCAAGAAACTTTCGTATATGGACTCTGATCTTTCATTAAAAGACGCTGGACTCTTTCCGAGAGAAACTGTGTTTGTACAAGAAAGATTGCATGAAAGTTAATCGTGATGTTTTGTTGACATATTTCAAATTGGATCCGGGAGAGAGAAGTTAGAATTACCGCGTTACTTGTTAGTTGTAACTAAAAATGATTTCAGACAATTTTTGTTCAGTTAGTGGTTTATCTGATACAACACGACCGCTGTATATAGCTTGTGAAACGTAACGATGTTAACGGTTGTGTTTTGTCTAAATTATTTAAAAAGAAGTGATGATTTTAACTCAGAAAATCGAGGGAAATGTTTATACAAATTAGTCGATACCTTGTCTCCAAAGCTGTTTCTCATGGACGTAATATCTTTCATTATCTTTTTCTTCACGTACCGTTTGTCGGTGTTTTTATCGTTTTTTAATCAGTTTCACTCAAACATTTTACTTTCCCCCCTTACCATTCAATTCATGTTTTGCTGACTGCGAAAACAATTTGCCGACTGGGATAAAATAATTTACAAACTTTACCCAAACTTAAATCTCCTTAACTTCATTGCTTCATTCCTCATTGCAAACTTAAATCTCCTTAACTTCATTGCTTCATTCTCTGAATGAATGAATGAATAGTTTGTTTAATAAAAACATCATCTGGCAGTCAGAAGACTGAATTACATGACGTTAAGTGTTACAAGGTTATAAATAGTAAAAAATTCTATATTACAATGCAATTTAAAAATTGTTAATATATACTATATATCATATACTTGAATGTACTAATCTATATGAGTTAAAAATTCTAAAATGTTCAAGGAACATCTAATTTGTAATGTTTCTTAGCATAAAAGTTGATAAAAGAGTTTCCGAAACGATTTGTATTTGCTGGTAAAACTTCAAAAGATCTTTCTTTTCGTAATTCTCTATTGCCTGCTTTGGATGGTAAAAGTTTGGCAAGTTTATGATCATCATTTAAAACAATGTCGTTGAAGAGATTATTGGATAGATACTCCCGTCTGTTTTCAAGAGTGGAAATACCAGCGATGTTAAGAGCCTCGTCGTAAGACAATTCATAGAATATTATTTTCATTGCTCGCTTCTGTATACGTTCAATGTTTTTTGCAAGATTTCGTGGCAGGGAACTATGGAATAATTGGCACGCATATTCGAGGACAGACCTTATACAGCTGCAAAAAAATTTGACCAAATCTGCCGAAGCGACATCAGCACGTTTGAGTTGCCTCAACAAATATAAACGTTTAGCTGCTTTGGAGACAATTGAATTTACATGGTCTATCCATTTAAGGTCATTTCTTAATATAACTCCAAGCGATTTGATACTTGTCACTCTTTCCAAATTTCGGTCACCAATACGTATAGGTTCAAAAACAGGTGGTAATCATGAAAAAGATATTACCATTTCTTTGCATTTAAATGGGTTTAGTTGAAAGGAATTGTCCATAGACCAAGTAGTAATATCATCGATATCCATTTGTAAAGTACTTTGTTCGTTTTTTTCAACAATTTCAGAGACCGTAGTATCGTCGGCAAATTTCCACATTTCTGAAAGGTGATTATGTAACACAAGGTCATTTATCATGGCTAAGAATAGTCAAGGCCCAAGTCGTGTGCCTTGAGGGACACCAGCTGGAACTTGGAGCCAGTCTGAGAAACAATTATCACTTAGTTTGACCCTTTGCCATCTATTACGTAAAAAGTCAATAATCCAGTTAACCACACAGGGCTTAATACCAAGGCTGAATAATTTCGCAACTAATGTGGTGTGATCCACCATGTCAAATGCTTTTTATAATCAAGAAATACAGTACGAACAGATGAACCACTTCCATCTGTTGCACTCAACCAACAATGGAGCATCGATATCAAGGCAAGTACAGTGGAAGAATTTGGAATAAAGCCAAATTGTTGGGGATCAACAACCTTTAACAGAGTTGGTGTTACTTCTCTTTCGATTACAAGACGTTCCGCTATCTTTGATAGAGTGGAAGTTAAGGAAATAGGTCGTAATTCCCTTTCCAAGTCTTTGACAGTAGATGTTTTTGGTAAGGGGACCACATCGGCCAGCTTCCAAATTTGAGGGACTTTACAGCTTTGAAAGGAAGAATTGATTATATTTGCAACTGCATGGTGAGGCGAGAATATCCGAATAGGTTTTTAAAACCCAATTGGAAATACCGTCAGGGCCACTGGAACGCAATGTATTAATTTCTTGCAATTTTCTAGCTATAGTTGACTCGGTCACAATAATAGGCGTTTCATCG